TTGAACAGTCTGGCAAGTAAACAAAAAAATTTACTAGCCAATGGCGATTCAATTGCCAAGGTGTCCGTAGAGGGCTGGAGAGATCCAGATATTATTCCTCAACAGAAGAGGACATGTGCTCAGGAATTTTAAATGAATCCCAATCACAGATGAACAGAAATTAGTAATGCATGGAGCCCACATGATATTAAAATGCCTATTAAGAGGATACTTATCCCAAAAAAATGAAAATTTGCTGTTAATTTTCTTACCATCAGGCCATCCAAGATGTAGGTGACTTTTTCTTCATTAGAACAGTAAAGAAGATTTTTAGCTGAAACCGCAGTCCTTGGTGATTCATGTCAATGGCTACCATCACTTTGAGAGTGAAAAAAAGCATATCAGGCAACACAAAATTAATACCCATGGCCCTTGATGATATATTAGGCCTGGGCGATAAATCGGTATCGATATTTATCGACGTACACCATCATCGATAACGATAGAAAAAATGTTCGATATATTGCACGATAGTTTCACGCTTTTTTAATTTAAAGGCGCGTATTATGAGTGACAAGCAGACAGCCAACAGAACACACAAACACATGCTGAAATGAGTGCCGTGCCTGCCTGCGATGAGGAGACGGAATCAAAACAAGGAATATTAGTCGAATTTAAAATAAAAATTTGCATTCAAATTAAAAAAACGGTATATTTGAATTTTAGGTGTGCGTCAGGGAGCCTTCAGTGGCGCACAAGATGCAGTGAGGATGATGTTGTTGCATTTTAATGTTTTTTTTAGTGTATATCCAGTTGAAACCACAAGATGCGCCGCTGCTGCATTTTCCATTCAAAATATTAGAGAACTATAGAAGCTCAATGCGGAGAAGATATTGGTTAGGTTAAAACTGAAACCAAGCCATTCACAGAGAACGCATATTGAGTGCATTCTTGAGACGCGCAACTATGACTATTACACTCGCATCTCGCACAAGAGTTGAATAGAAAGCCATGTAAAGTTAAAAGAGGTTCAACTTTTAGAAAACATGTCTCGAGAATTTGTGGGGTTTTTAATTGTTTATACAATTTACAAAATCATATTTGATTTATAAGTATTAGTTTAGACATTATGTACTTTTTTTTTATAGACAGCCGTTATTTTCATTGCATTGAATAAACCGTTTAATGAGGTGCATTATTTTGCTCATTGCGCACTCCTGTGGCCTCAGGAGACAGGCCAAATGTTTCCTTAATACTTATTTAATCTGCATATAAAATATAAGAAAGGAAATATTTGTTTCAATTTTGTTTTATTTAGTTTTATTTGTTATTTTAAGACTAAAATAAGTTGTCTTAACAAATTGGATAAATTAAAAATACAGTGGTTAAATTTAAACCTTTTTTCTACTGCTCTCTGTTTAAGAAAGGTTATAAAAAAATTTCAATAATTATTGATACCGAACGATATGAAACATTATACCGTGATCTTTTTTTAGTTTTATCGCCCAGCCCTACGATATATTGAGATCTTATGAAGAGAAACAATCAGTCTGTGCAAGAAACTGAACATTATTCACAACATTAATACTTGTAATGCAGAGCTTCAGGCAAACTAGGAAATCTGATTATTTTCTGCAGACTGGTTCTTTGGGACAGTTTGAATCAATGAACTGGTTCAAATAACTGATTCACCAGTTTGTTATGTAATGATGGAGGCAGGGCATTTAACAATTTAACAATACACTTTATTATCCAAAATGAATCTGACATCAGTGCACCGAACAGTAAAGTTGAAGTTTATTCAACTGTAATTCAATTCAATTCCATTCCATTCAACTTTATTCTGTTGAAGGTTTTCACTTCGGAACATTCATTCACGGATTTGCGCTACTGTCTTCACGAACAAAATGAAACACTGGGCCGACGGCCGAATACCGAACACGGTTTTTCGAGTTTTTTTCCCCATGTATTTAGCCAAAAAATTTTTCACCATTGCATAAATTAATTAGCCAAAATGTGCTTTTTGATGTTCTTGCTTTTCAAAAACAAACAAATCAATTACAAAACAACAATTTAAAAATATTTATCACTGAACATTTTTAACATTCTAGCAGACACTATACCAACAAAGCACAATTTAACTTAAAATTAATAAGTTAGTAAAATTATCATTTTTGGCCATCAGATGATCAGACCCCCTTCTTGAATCAGGCATTTATTTATTTTTTACTGTACAATTAAAAGCAGCCTTGCTGAGAAGAGACGACTTTTAAAACATTAGAAAATATTACAGATCCTAATGTGAACACTATGTGTGAATGTTATAATAAATGTATTAAAACAGAGCTGTTGTAATGATTATTACATTATTATTGTCTTACTTTTTATTTTATTTTACAGAACAACAGTAAAATTACAATACTAACATTTATGAATGTTGATAAGAGTTCTTGCTTTTTCTAAACTTTTATTTTGGCGGAAACGCGCAGGAAGACCTCAATGCTTATTTTTGTTGATAACACATTCGTATTCGCGCGATTTTTTGCGCAGCTCATCAGTGAACAACGGCTCTGTGTAGTTAATGCTGCTCAATGTGAAAGCACGCAGGTGATGGAGATTTACCGCTGATTACAGAACCGTCTTTACTGACAAGATGCATGTTAAATATCGCATGCGATTAATCGTGCAGCCCTAATTTGTAATCTATAATTTATTACTAATGCCAATATGTTTTATATACTACAAACAATTATTTCAATTTTCTGCACAGAATTAGGTAGAAAATATACTTTATAGTTTCTGTACTGTAATAAATGATATGTCAATTAACACAGCATAATTCATACATTTTATTCATTTATTGTGTTTATTGTCTTAACGTTTCACCTGTCCATTCTGCTTTTTATTCATCTTAGTTGCAGCGATATATGCCTTTGTCCATATTAGGCATTTCCTGGCACTTCTTAAGTTCTTTGAGCGCGAGATAACTTCTCTAACTTCTTTATCTCGTTTTCATAAAATAAAATGCTATAGTATTTAACTTTTCCTCTCCATCGGCGAATGATGATTCTAAAAGAAATCGTGCCGACGGATCTCCACCAAATTCGGGGGATCCCTTCAGCTCGAGGAGCCCTCTCGAACACCACTCTCCGTGCGTCGGTAGCCCCCCGGGATCGCTTGAGCGTTCGGCGCCGGACCGCGAATTTAACCACCCGTAACTCCCGAACCCTGGGGGCTATCGACGTGGGGGTGGTCTCATTCGAAAGCGGGCCTCTAGACGTACACTAGAGAAACTCGGTTCCTCGAGCTGAAGGGATCCCCCGAATTTGGTGCGGAATCGCCGCGCAATATCGGCAAAACGATATATCGGTCGGGCTCTACTTTAGACATCTGATGTCACTGTTTAGGGCCCTCTGATTTCCAAAATGTGGAAAACGCTGATGAAATCTAGTCATAAAAATTGAATTTACAGTATAACACGCTTTGTCATGGAATTCAGCCAATGTTTGCCAAAAAAAAAAAAAAAGGTTACATTTTCAATTATGCCTTCATTTCACTGATTTTGATAATACATTTGTATTAAATCTTAAATTCAGTAAAAAACAAACAAAAAAAACAGGATTTCAAGGGAAAAAAGTTTCATAGGGCCCTATTGTTGTTAAAAAAGTAATATAATAATAAAAAATAATAAATAAATGAAATGGAATAAAATCCAGAAAAATGTTAATGAGAGCACAGAATTTGGGAGAAAACATTTTATTTATTTATTTTTGAAAAATAAAACCGACTTCAAAGGCCCTGTTTTTTCTCCTAACGTAATAAATTATGAAATATAATTAAATAAGATGTATGATTTTAATTAATTAGACATTATTTGTATCACTAACATTTAATTTAACCATTAAAATTAAATTTGGGGAAAAATAAAATGTATTTTATAGGGCCCTATTTGTTGGATAGACTTTTTTTCCTCCCTGTGCAGAGTTTGAGGTCAGCTTGGAAAGTGTGATTTTATCAAAACTATTGAGTATTGACAAAATTTCAGTAGTGCTTGCACATGCAGAACTATGTGGAACATGTCCTCTAGTAGCGAAACATGGGATCTTTAAAAACATCAGATACCCTGATATGATGGGAGTCTAATGAATGAACATGTGCTCAGCCCTGTAAGCATGACATCATGGCCACTATAGGGGGAATCATTGCTGATTGCAAGCATTCAGAATAGAGAATATATCAGATGATTAAGCCCTGTGTGAATTATAATGTGCCCATTTTCTTTTAGACTTATTGAGACTTGCATGTGTGTTTCCATTGCATGTATTTTTCCTGTTGAAATGACCCTGAGTCTGAGACGTCTTGTGATGATCCTGACCATTAATTCCCTCTTTCACAGACATCCGGCATCCTGAGGAACTCTCCTTACTCCGCAAGCCCCGCGACCCCAAGAAGAAGAAGAAAAAGCTGGAGGAGGCAGAGGAGGAGGCGCTGGAGCTGGAAGGACCACTGCTCACTCCTGGATCAGGTACGTGTCAGATCACCATCACCATGTGTCTGTGGACTGTAAAGAAGTCCTATGAGAAGGTTAATGCACTGGTCTCTCTGTCACGTCATTAAATACTCAAACTATCTATAAGGTCCACTTTAGGAAATGGTAGTTTTGATCAAAAACCGAGTGAGCTGCCTACATAAGTCATGGACCATAATATGTCATTGGTTTTCAGTCCTAGTCCTGAGGTCCAGGTGCACTGCACATTTTCTGTCTCCCTTATTTAACACACCAGATTCAGATCATTATATTGTTTGGATACAGCTCCATGAACTGCACTATATGGAAGCCCGTTTCCGCCACTGAATAAAAAATAAAAAATAAAGGTTATTGCGACTTTTTATCTCACAATTCTGACTTTTTTTCTCGCAATTGCGAGTTATAAAGTCAAATTTTGAGGGGGGAAAAAGACTATGTTCTCAGAATTGCGAGTTTATATCTCGCGATTCTGAATTAATAACTAGCAATTGCTAGTTTATATCTCACAATTTTGTGAAAAAAAAGTCAGAATTGTGAGTTTATATCTCGCAGTTCTGTCTTTATTTCTCAGAATTGCGACTTTGGCTCACAATTGCGAGTTTATATCTCACAATTTTGACTTTATAACTCGCAGTTGCGAGTTTACGTCTCACAATTCTGAGAAAAAAAGTCAGTATTGCGAGATGTAAACTCGCAATTGCGAGAAAAAAAGTCACAATTACCACAATTTCCACAATTTTTATTCAGTGGCGGAAACGGGCCTCCATAGAACTAAGTGTCTGTCTCCAGAAGCTGAAAAAAGGCTGCCTCTGCAGACAGGATATGGAGGTAGAAAGGCACCAAGGCATGTCTGAATCCAATGATCTTGTCACATGCCGTCTACTGAGATAACTTCATCTGATTGATTTTTGAAGGCAGCAATAGGATACATCCTTCACTGCCTATGATATCCCACAATCCTGTGCGTGCAGTTATGTAAAAGTTGAGCTAAAATATAAAATGGTGTCTGCTAAGTTATGCTTGGTGGTCAACTTTTTCACTTTTGATGTAATTTCTCCTAATAAATTAGTATTGTCGTAATTAAATATTTGCATAGTTACCCAAGCCCTTGTTTTGTTGTAGATCGTTGGACCGTTATTCTGTATATTTATTAAATTAAATGTTAGTAATTAAAAAGCATGCCTAATTAACTGAAATCATGAAACTTGTACAATTTATTAAAATTGTAACCAAAGCTATATTTTTAAAGCGCTATGAAATCAGTTTTATTTTTCTGGATTCTTTTCTCATCATTTAATTAAAGTTTAATAATCAAAAAGCATATCTAATTAATCAATTTAATAAAATGTTAACAAAAGGGCACTGTTTGTCAGGTTTTATGCCTTATTCAATCATGAATCCAATATTTCTGTCATAAATTCTGAGATTCAGTCCTTATTGTCCACATCGCTGATATCATATGGCACTTAAGATGTGCTAATGTAAAATGTCCAGTGCTCTGGGTCCCCTAAACCGGATTGAAAAAGTTATAAGTGCCCAAGCAACTCAACCCAATTGATTTTAATAGAGTTTGACAAAGTAATAGTACTCCTCTCTTCAACAAACTTGAGGCATCGTTCATATCCTTCACACAAAACATGCAGGTGGGGTTACACGCTGTTAGTTCGAATCACAAACCCAAGTATGAGCAATACATAGTGATGGTTGACTTGCACAACTTTGATTGTCGTGCCACATCGCTTTGCTTGTTTGCAGAGTAGACTGTGTTTGATGGTTTGGAACCCATGAAGTTCCATAATGGTGCGCGTGTGGTTGAAGAGCAGGAAAACAAAAGGGTTGATATGTTGAAACAGTGCTGAAATGAGAAATGTGTGGGTTGAGAGCAGCGTCTCATTTGCAGGCCTGCTGTTCTCGTTCAAACTTCGGAGCGTGAATGGTTCAGATTCCTCACATATTTGGTCACGCTGCCATTTTGAAACAGAGCAGTCAGCTACATCGCCGAGCACCCCACACATGATGCGCTAAAATCCATTTACGATGCACAGAGGACAGACTCTCATCTCCTCAGGTCGACATGAATAGGGTCTATTGTCCCAGACGCGTCCCCCATGCAAACTCAACATGCAGGCCAAAACGCTTGTGTCTGGGATCTGTTCTCCACTTGTTCCTTCATTACGACTATTTAACCTCATGATGACCCTCATTAAAATAGTGCAGGACTCCCGATGTTTAGTGGCCATAAAGACTGCACAAAGGCTCTTTTAGGAAGGAGAAAATGTAACGGGAGCTGCCATGAGTCGTTTTGGTCCACAACGGGAAATGAGCCGAAGACCCGCCGCTTGATCTCTTCTCAGAAGGATTTAAGTACGAGTCGCCGTGATAAGAATCGCTTTGATAACGACATGAGCAGGACATGAGCTCCACCCATAAGTATTGTTGTTCCTATCCCTTCGTCTACGGATATTCAGACAAAACAATCTGCTCTGGAAGTAGAGCTCTGTCCTCCTCTGTTCTGTATCTGGACTTTCATATGCACATTTATGCATTTAGCAGATGCTTTTATCCAAAACAACTTACAGAAGAGGAACAAAAGCCATTTGTCAAAGAGCCTACAATATTTGTAATATATAATGCCTTGTTTATTAGACAACTAGACTAGAAAGTAAACTAAAATAGAGGAGAAACAGATAATTTATTATTATTTTATGTATGTATTTATTTATTTTGTAAGATATACACTAAAGGTACAAATACCATGCTCTTTAGACGGACTAGAAATGTTAGATCAGCTATTAATCTAACATAAATTGAAAAATAACTAGTTTTAAAAAAAGTTTATTGTCCAGTAGGCTTGCTGCGATAGACAGTGTTTTCGGTTATACCGGTGTTAAGCCGCAACACCGGTTACGTCATTTGCCTACCGTGGCACCGCCCCCCGCCGCCGTTTTGATTTTTTTATAGTAACAAAAATCATTTAGCCTAGTTCAGTTAGAGGACAGATACTTTTAAAAACTAAACGCTCAATGTAGCGTGCCGAACCATGCACGAACGACAGTGCACCACGGAGCAGGAGTCAGATTTTATTTATCACGTGAGGAGAGTGAGTCGAGCTGACTGACTAGAGTGAGGTGAGAAAGACAAGATGATGGCAGAGGATTGTTTAGAAAGGAAATGCAAAGGCGCCTGTTTGGCAATATTTTAGTCTCCAAGTTTTCTTATTCGTTTTGCTAATAAACATTCTATGCTTTTTATTTATTTGGTTCCACAGTGTTTGCTGATTTTCAGTTTTATATACCTCCCACCCCCAAAGTGATACCGGTATTACCGGTGTTGTCACTCGTCGATTAACCGGTGGTAAAATTTCCTCACCGTCACAACCCTAGCAATTGAAATACAGTAATGTTGAGTCAACAGATTTTGATCTGTTAATTTGATAATAAATTGATAACTTGAGGCTTAATTACAAAAAAAGATTGATATATTGTTTGTGTCTCACATTTCGAATAGAAAATAAATATATTTACTTTAAGGTGGGTGAACAAAATTTTCTATGGGTTATCTGCCCATAACAAAAAAAAGAAAAAAATCAAGCCTTATTTTATGTGAAAAAAGTGTATTAAAAATCAAGCCTTGTTTGTGGAAAGTTTCTCGGAGCATCACTGTGAATGAGTTTAATGAAAAGGCAAAATATGACTCTGTGAATGACATTTATTAAGGATGTGTATGAACGTCCTGTGTCTGTCTATCTTGTCAAGGGAACTTGTCCTTTTTTTTTTTTTTTTTGAGATATTAGTTGTTTTCTTTTTGAAACTGTGGTTACTTCTGAGGTCTTGTCTCATTTTGTATGTTAACGCTTTCCTTTTCTTCCAAGCTGTTAATCTCTTTAATCTATCCTTTCATTCCCCATCTTTCTCTTTGTTTTTTCTTTTCTACATTTCCTCCCATTCCTCAAGTCTCTGAGATACTATACATTGGACCAGTAAAAGGTAAGGCTCACTGTTTTTCTGGCTCACTGTTTTTCTGGCTTCCTGCATTGCTTCCTTCACCTCCTCTCACCGCAGCTGGAGTAGTCACCTGACCACTGCTGACTCTGAGAAATCCCTGGCTCTGGTCACCTGACTCTCTGCTTCAGTGACACCTCAGCTGATGAGGGTCACGAGATGAGCTTTGCCCAAACACTGCGTTCCACTGATTCCCTTATCGGTTCACAGTTTTGCTTGTTTAAGTTGTCTTGCTTTGTCCTAAAATCAATATAAGATTAGAGCTAAAAGACTGAAAGGTCATGTCAAGGAGCTACCCAGCAAATACTGATTATCCTTGTTATTATTTTTTTATTATCAAGCTTTTATCTGGAGCTCATCATAATTGGTTATACAAACAAGCAGGCTTACGCAAAATATTATCCATATTAAGATGCGTATGCACATGATGGAGGGCATGTCTGTGCACTAAACATGAGTTATTTTACTAAGGTATGTGACATATAAAAGGCCTTGAACTTTTAATGCAGTTTGATCAGGAGTATTCCTACTACAAGCACAAAAGTCTTATTTCATTGGTTCAATTGGAAGGAAGAAAGAAAAACCAGTGCTTGCAATGCAGCAAAAGAGTAGCGGTAACATCAAATAATAGAAAAGTTAATAAAATATTAACTTGAGATGCCAAATAAACAGAGAGACCAATAACCAATGTCAAATGCAGTATGCAAATAAATGCAGGAAAAAACACTCAATATGGAAATCAGAAATAGATGCCCACCTAAGGCTAAGATTAAAGGGGTCATATAATGCGATTTCAATTTGTCCTTTCTCTTTGGAGTGTTACAAGCTCTTGGTGCATAAAGAAGATCTGTAAAGTTGC